AGCGATCGGAGTGTTGCGGCCAGATTAGACGCTCCTTGTGTTTATTATTATATTTCGAAAACACCACAGTTTTCATGCAGCTCATACCATATTAATTTCTTGTATTATTTCCACCACACCTTAAATGCTGGTCCCTGAAAATATTGTCTGACATAAACTGGTCCGTGGGGCAAAAAAGGTTGGGGGCCCCTGGCGTAGATGATAGTGTGACAGATTTCTTGGTGGTAAACCGTCTTTCATTTTGATCACTTTTACCTTCTCTTCCAGCATCAGAGCTCTTCTTGTCTTAGCTGCTTGACATTCAAAGGTCCGTTTTGTAGCCATTTTAGCAATGCAACGTTCTTGCTGCATCTGAAACTAACAATAACAAATACTTGCTGGACTACTGCGCATGTGTAAGCCAGTGTGGTGGTTGCTGTTGCCGTTTCCGAACTAAGCTGTAGAGGTCGCTGTTGGATTAGACTTTGTTGTAGTGAATCTCATCACGAGGCAAGAGCAGAGAAAAAGATTTCCTATAACACAACAGGGTTTTTTTTTTTCTCGTTGTACGGGGGGCAGGAGAGTGGGAATAGTGTTAATGCATGAAGATTTTTTTACACTAGGGGGTATTTTCACCCATGTAGGTTTCGTTGTAGAGGAGTTTCACTGTAATAATAAATAAATAAAAAATAGCTTTGAACAGGAAACGGCCTTTGCATAACCCGGACCAGCTGCAGGGTGACGAGACCACAGTTCCCTCTTCGAAGCTATAAAAACCGCCGTTCGGAGCGGCAAGGACGGGCCTGGTCAGGGCGGACCCCTGTCCGTTCGGGACCCCAATTTCTGTTATCTGACGAGAATAGGATTACAAAGATAAAGACAAAGATAACTCCTTATCAAGAAATTCAATATTACATTCAACTGGCACAACTCGAATACAGGTATTGTGGTGGCTTTTCTCTAATATGTTTTATTCCAACTAACCTCAGTTATTATGAAGCCGTTATATCTGTCAGGAGACAATATACTTCTCTCGTGTGTCGGAAAAGACGAGCCAATCGTTTGTGTTAACTGTCTCTAAATCAAAATTTTTAACCGAATAATATAAAAAGTATTAAAATGGTACTAAAATATAATTATATAAATTATATAAGGGGTTAAAACACCGGGCGCTTAAGACTTGATCAATCTTGAAAGCCTCGCTGATGATAGACCGGTGCTTATTTCATTTAATTATTTTTATTCTTGTAATTATTTTTACTCACTTATTCGTTTTTAACCTTTATTACCTTACTCTCCTCTCATTATCATTGTAGCTACTGTGTGTTGTGACATTGTTCTTGTTTGATTTTAGGTTGAAAAATACCATTCAAACAATGTTTTTGTTGTCAACGATTGTATTCCGCATCTTGCGGTTACAATGGTTGATTAATGCATGTTTTACAGTAATTGTCAAATTAATAAATGTGTCAAAATTCATTACATCGTCTACCTCAGTTGTTTTTATGATTTAATTCCTATTACCACTCAGCCTTCGTCGATGAATGAAAGGTTGCGTGCTCACTAACACTTGTGATCTGTCTCGAAAATAAATAGTTAATTAAA